GTCGTCGTTGTCGCCGTCGTCATCATACCATCATCTCAGCATGGACATACGGAATGAAACAAAATCGCTCCTTTTTTATGAATTTTGCAGAAAAAAAAACAAAGAAGAATAAAGAAAAAGCCCCTTCTGCATCAGTGATGGGGAAGAGAGCGAAGATCAAATTCGACAACGAGGAAAGGCATTCGATGAACAAAGCTCAAACCACGTCAAAATCGCTCCCCTTTTTTTTAATGAATTTTGCAAAAAAAAAAAACGAAGAAGAATAAAGAAAAAGCCCTTTCGGCATCAGTGATGGGGAAAAGAGCGAAGATCAAATTCGATAACGACGAAAGGCATTCGATGAACAAAGCTCAAATTACGTCAAAATCGCTCCTTTTCCGAAAGGACTCACGGGTAGTCAACGAAATAAATAATCATAAAAGTCGCCTTTTTTGCGCTACGGCGGGCGAAACCGTGATCGCGAGCTATCCATGAACCACAGGAAAGGAACAAATCTAGGAAGAAGAGAAGCCGACGACAAGATTATGCAAAGGGAAAGAGGTAAAGAACCTCGAAGAGGGAGGCCAAGTCCCAACCCGCATCCGCCCGCAGAAAGATCCCAACCTGGTGCTTACAAAGAACCGCTCCGCCGCCGCCCTCCCGTAGCCGCCAGATGGCTAAAGTGACGAAGAAGAAAATCCTTAAGGTACGGACGCCGCTGCCGCCGCCACCGTCGTCTTGGTCCTCAGACCAGCCATCTCGCCATGATACATTTTCGCATATAGATCCTTCCCAAATAATTATTTTCCACCGCACCACCTGACATGATTATTGTTTACGAATTAATTATAAAGTATGAGAAAATTAGGATGGAAATAATCGTCTATTTGTTTAGAGAGCCTCAAATATTATTATTTATAGGTGGCATTAAACGTATAAAAATGTATTTGGATGGGGGCAAAGTAAATACATTATCAGAAACACAATAAGCATAATTTTGTGCAAATAGGAATTTATCGAGGGAGCAAAGTGAAAAAGACGCAGGACGATGCCGTCAACCCTACGGAACGACGCATATGGAAGTCAACGCAACCGTGAGGAGAATCTTAATGGGATTGGGAAAGAAGTCAACAGTCAAAGTCCCCTGCGTTCTCAGACGGCTCTCTCGGTTGCCATATGATCCACCAAATCGGATCACATCGCGTCGACCATTTTGATCCGATAAATATGACGTATACGACGCGCACATTGGGATGCGATAAATATGTTTCCGTTTCCCCCTCTCTCTATCTATATGATATCAAGTGGTTTGATCAACCAAATTGAATCAAATCAAATCAGGTTTACCATTTTGATTCGATACATACGTTTCCCTCTGCTCTCTCAATATCAAGTCCCGTTTCCCCTCTCTCTCTCTCTCTATCTCTCTCTCTCTCTCTCTCTATCTATCTATATGACACAAAAGTGGTTTGATCCGCCAAATCGAATCAAATCAGATTTACCATTTTGATCCGATCTCTCGATGATATCAAGTGGTTTGACTACATACACCATGATATCTATATAATAAATATATATCTTGAGACAGTGATCAACGAACGACGAAGAACCAACCGATGCATAATTTTGATCCCCTAATTCGTCTAATTCTCTGCAGTGTTAAAATATTTGATTTAAGAAATAAAAGAGAGAAAAAAAATCCTGGGCTGTACTCAAAGCCCACTGCAATCCACCATCTTACAACCTACCAAGCGAACACCATGGAATAAACCATCAGCCAGCAGCAGTAATTGACCTCATGTTGTGTGTGTCAAAAGAACAAAGTAGTTCTTATTGGATTCATGTGTGTTGTGTAGAACAATTTAGATTTGTTACGAATCTTGATGAGCGTGAACATGAATGATTTAAATGGATCGGATAAATACGAATACCTGAAAAGAAAAATTCGATCCATTTTAATTAACAGTCATTCCATGGATGTCGGATCTCATCGAATTGGCGTTAGATTCGAGCAGTGGTGCACACACCCTACCCCAGGCGGCATGCAATAAGGAAAGATTGGCTGCGAAAGATTGCTGAAAGATTGGAATGTTGCTGCCTTGTTCTGATATGTCGCTCTATTCACTCGTTCTGATGGTTTCCTTTGCGTACTACTGTTCTCCAAAACGTGAAACATATGCCGATGAATAGATTATCCAACCGCGCAATATTAATTGCCGACACACGGCTGCTTGTTTCCTTAGATTCTGCATACAAACATAACGATGGTATCGATGCTTCAGACAATGGATCCAACTCCTCGCCGCAGATCACACGAGCCTCGTGCACTGCCAACTTACTTGGGGAACCCCAAGAAAGAAAGCATCGGTTCCCACCGGCTGCTCGTGTTCTGCAAACCAAATCAAGATCCATCACGGATGACGACCAGATTTACTTGACTGTGTGACGCGCCCGGCTGCATCCCCAGATGAAAGAAGATATCGATGGAATCCACTTCGGATGCGTCACTGCAAACAGCAAAGGGCATTTGTGCGATGGCCGATTCGTCCTATGTCATTTCATCCTATGCCGATTCGTCCTATGTCATTTCATCCTATGTTGATTGTCTTATCCACCAATAAGAATAAGTCGGAAACCTGCAGCCAGCATTGGGCTTGAACTTCTCTAAACTCTTCATCAGCCCCCTGCTTCCCTCCTACAATAACAATAATCGTTGATAGTTGAAGGAAACATCCCAGCGTGCAAATATAGAAACAATTTCAAAATGATTCTGCAGTTCCAAGCAATGAAGTTCCCTAAGAACACATAATTTAAGATCATCTTCTGCAGAAGTATCACAAAATTTTCAGTATCCCTTTGTAACGAAGTTAGAATTTTTTTTCTCCCCTCCAATCACAATGGTGTCTCTCCCCACCACTTCTGCAAGCTTAACATCAAATCTCTTTTTCCTCCACTATTTAGTATTTTTTTTGTAGTTTCATGAAGCAAATTTTCTTGTGTTTGACTGTTTTTCCTGTAGAATATCCATGAAATAAGAAACAAGAATTAATTTCCAAAGATTTAAAATTGCAATTGTTTGGCACAGAGAAGTAACTCACAGACGATCAAAATTTATAAA